TCAAGTAAAATTAAAATTGGAAGTCAGTTCGCGAATTCGGTTCTCTCTGTTCATTTTCTTGAGTTTCATCCTGCGGTTCTGAAACCAGATTTTGACTTGTCTGTCTGTCAGGTTAATACTCTTACTAATCTCCAGGCGGCGCTCACGGGTCAAGTACATATTGAATAAGAATTCCTTCTCCAATTCCAGCGTCTGGTGTTTAGTGTAAGGACACCTTTTCTTTCTTCCGCTCTTTGCTGTCAGCCAATTTCCTGTAGTGTTTTCTGCCTTTATATCCTCTGTTAAAAATAACATTATTATATAAGTATCCGTGGAATGAGAAAGAGAATTTACCAGGCTAAAGATTGTTAAAAAGCAGCTTCTTTGGTGGAAAACAATCACTCCCCTATACACAAATAAAAGGGTTGTGCTTATGGCTCAATTTATTTTTATTTTTTAGGTGTTTTAGGTTTAAAGGACTCATTAAATACATATTTAAATGTCCAATTGTTTCCACCGACTATCACCAAATCGCTAAATAAATCCACGTTAACAATATGAACCTATACATCAGATCCATGCAGCCAAGGCTAAGTTATAGCTCACACACTAACTATGCCTAGTTCAAGTAACGGATATCATAGTGAAATACAATTTCTTTTCGGCTCTTACACTATTCTAGAGTGCAGGGTTTCCACACGTCAGACATGTCAACAGAATATAATTTTATGAAATTATTCATGGCCTTTCGTGCACCACATGAAGGCTTTTTTTAAAAAAAAAAAATCTTAAAATCAACAGTATAACTTTCCTAAGTTCCGTAACTGTTCTGCCATTGCTTCCTTCTACACACACACATACTCTTTACTACAAAAGCATCATCTAAAGTGAAATCTGATTATTACCCTCTGAAATATCTGGTTCACTGAAGCACTGTCGTCTAACAGAGGTCAGATGCTTAGAGTCTGTGAAGCACATTAATATCAAGTGTATTTTTCGTAAACACAAACTATGTGAAATGGATTTGCCTTTATAAAGTGTGCGTATATATGTATCCTTTGTAATTATATTTCTTATATATACACACCCTCTCTTATACACTTACACTCACACTTCATAAAGTAAAATACATGTGTTTGCTATATCTAGATAGCAAATATTTATATAGCAAATATTCAAATCCCAAGTATTTTATATATATATATATATATTATAATTCTTTATATATAATACTTGGGATTTGAATTTGATCATGGGAAAATTCTGGCATCAGTAGTCGCCTATATTTATGTCTAACTATGAAAGAAGAAAATGATATGTCCTATGACTACAATAATCCACTTACTTTTATATTCATGCTAGTTTCAGAAGATTCTGCGATTGGAAATAAGAACTTTACTTAACCACTTATGCCTTAACAATGAGTATATTTGCAATTAAGCCACCTTTAAGTTTGCAGATGCCCTTTCATGCTATTGAACCTTTGAAATTCTCGCTAAGCCTCTAGCTTTCCAAAATTCTTAAATTGAATTCAAAAATCGCACCTTGGCAATGAATAAAATTCTGATTCAACAAAAAGGGAAATTTAAGCTTTAAAATAATTTTATTTAAAGAAAACCACAAACAAACAAAATCCGCCTCATACTGGCTCTGATGATTAAAAATGCTATTCACGATATATTAATTTCTGAAAAAGCAAAAGTTTGGAAATCAATTACTTTAAACATACACCCATTTTGGGTAACACCAATATTTCGAGGAAAAACCTTTTTTCCCCCCCCCCCCCAAATTATAGTTCAAAACCAAAATAATCCTTCTGTTAACTCCCACGAAAATATATCTTGACATGAAAATAGAACGCGCTTTGTGAAGAGAAGTTTGTAGGGATTTTGATAAACTTGACTTTGTGTTTTGTGTATTTGTAACTCAGCTGTCAGATAAAATAATGTCATTGGATGCGGAATAAAATGAAAAGAATGTTTTGGACTATATATTTTGTTTTGTTGAAAGGCCAATTTTAAAGGTGATTTTGTATGAAGATATCTTTCACAAGAACGACAGTGGGTATGAAATATCTGTATGCTCTTCTGGTACCCATACACAGAGGATGTATGTGAGTGTACACACCATACCACATGCACGTATATGTATATGCATATACAAACTACATAGTTACTAAACTGCTTCGTTTCTGCTTGATTTCTAGCATATTACAGATTATTGGACACGGAAGCTATTTTAACCCGTACACCACAGTCAAATAATAAAACCCGTTGCTTAGATCTCCATCCGCTCCCAATAATATTTTGTGCTATGTATTTTACGCCAAATTTTCAGAGAATTCCGCTCATTCATACATATACCTCTACTTAATGACCCAAAATAAATACTTAAAACAGTCTATCTTGAATCTAGGTCTACAAGGACAACTGAATATTAAGATAAACAAACATTTCAACCCACATGAAATCTCTACAATGAGAATACAATATGGTAAATGGAAGTCTCTCCTCATAGAAACCCAAACGTAAAACATCTGTTTCACACCCAGAAACAATTTTGCCTTCACAAACAAGACCTCAATTCGCCAGCAAAAAGCTTTTTCAACCAGCAATGAAATGAAACACAATACACAACCCAAACCTGAGATGTTTGCAAGTGAAAATAAGACTCAATCCTTGTTTTCTTTTTCTTTTTCTCCTCAGACATTTTATACTGAGCAAATAAAAAGAGTAAAAATTGCCTTACACGACCACATAAAACATTTAACTAGAAAATAACATGAGGTAAATGTCTGGCTGAACTGATTTTTGTAATCTCATTGCCATTTCAGACTATTCTAAAAGCCACCTAATCTTATTAAATATACACCGTACCTAGCAGCTACATACCTAACTAAATACATGCACAAGTCTCCCCTTTAAATAGCGAAAGGATGTGTTTTAACACATTTGACTGCTCTATTTTCTCAGTGATTTTTATTTCGAGTAAGAATTTAAAACCGACTGCAGCAATTCAGACATAAGTGCGGCGAAGTTTGCAGTGTAAAGTGCATCTTATTATTATTATGCTGATCATTTTCTGAAACCAGTTACCGATAATGAATAATCCCTTACCTTTTGCTTCATTGTCAGAATTATCTGTGCTGGTGTCAGTGCTTTTATTCAGGTCTTTCTCTGCTTCCGAAGGGCTTATTTTTGGAGCTGGGGCGCTTGTTTCTGTTTTAATTTCGTTGGTGGGTGTGTTCTGGGTATTATCTGTTTTTGTGTTTTCGGGGAAACTCACTTTAGCCACTGGTGGTGGGGCTTGTTGTTGTTCCAGACGCTCACTCCTTGGGTTCAGACTCGCCCTGGAGTCAAAACTTGCCTCAAACTCATTTGGATTGTTGCAGTTTGGCGTCTTCTCCATAGAGGAATAACCTTGGCCGGCTCGATAGTAGCTAGGAACAGGGACTTCATGATCATTTAGGCAAGAATCAGGCATTTGATTGGGGTAGAGGGCTGTCTCTGTGGCATTTTTCGCCCTTTTATCAGCGTTATACATGCAGCATACATTCTCTTCTTTGACATTGGTTGGGAAAGAGCAGGATGGGAGCTGTCTTGCAACAGGTTGTTCGATTCTGTAAGTATTTTTTGGGTCACACCAAGTGTCTAGCTGAGAAAGGTAAGATGGATAGGTGTTGAGAGACAGGCTGGCGGTATTCACCTCGTCTCTTTTGGAAAGAGACGGGATAATTCCACAGTTTCTCATCATTCCACAGCTGAAATCGCTCCCAGGCTGCATATACATTCCTTGGTTAGAGGAATAATTCTCGCCTCTACAGGTACCGGCCAGCGAGTCCATCAAAAAGGAGTTAGAAGTCACATTGTTGGGACATGACATTGTCAGGGAGGGATTTTAAAGAGGAATACTACAGCCAAGGGCTGACATCTTTTTTTTAGGGAAAAATAGCAGCCCCATAATTATCCACGCATTGGTCCCCCACCACGTGACGGCCAGGCCAATGAGGATTGAAAATGGCCTTGATGATTCAGACGCCGATGACGTCACAAGGGTCAAGTTGTTGCGAGCGGAGAAAACTAGCATAGAGCAACAGCGACATCTATCAGTCTCTGCCGGGTAGGGTGTCCGGGACCTTCACTTTGAACAAAGGAGAAAAGCCCCCCGGTTTGCGGGAGTTTGTTTACCAATGAACCAACGCGTGTCTACAGCAGAGTGGGGGGAAACCAAAAAAAAAACAACCCCCAAAAAAAACCCCTAATTCAACTTTCTCCCCCTCCTTCCCCTCTCTCTTCTTAGCAAGATTCCCGGTGCTCCCCCCCCCTTTCTTCTGTAACAGAACTTGAAATATTTTAGTTGCTGTGGTTTGGGTTTTCATCGAACGTTGGGGTGGATTTTGTTTCTTGTTAACGGTGGGGTGGGTGCAGTTCTTTAAAGGGTGGAATTGTAGGATCGATGCCTCTTGAGACCTCTGATTTGTTTTTTAAAATGTATTTGGAATCAGGAAAAATACGTAAAAAGTTTCACCGAGATGGTTTCAGTCTTTAATTTCGGTGCTTTTTGATCCCCGCAGGTCTAAAATAGTCCTGTGTGCATATTTGGAAAGCAGTTTTTTTTTTAATACCAACAAAAAGCCGTTTTCTTTTTTATTTCCTCTTTGTGTGTGTGCGTGTGTGTGTGTGTGTGGTATGGATAAGCGTTGCATCCCTCGAAATAGACTCTGAAAAGACAACGTTTTTAAAAAATAATCCATTTCCAGTGTTAACTGTCTTAAGTTTCTTTGCTAAAATAGCGTCTGTGATATGCACAAATCTTGCAAAATAAATGTATTCGTGGGGAGGAAAAGGGTAAATTTGATAAATATGATCGATCTTTAAATACAAAGGGACAACATTGCGATGGTGGGGGTTTGTTTTACCTCTTCAGGAAATAACAAAAAAAATCAAAATTGTATTTGACCAAATATTTAGTACATGGATTTCCCAAAACAAACTTCCCGATTTGGTATGATTTTTTACTGTGGGGATTAAAAGAAAAAGTTTGTTTCTTGACAGATAATTTCCCCTTCCCCATTTTGTTAAACTATTTCACTGTTATGTGGGTTTAACTTTTTTCCCCATTTAATTTAACGACCACAGAACAATAACTACTATTCCAAGTGGCGATGGAATTTTTACCTATGTGTTTTCCTTTTGCCTCATTTCTTTACTGGACAGTTTCTAATGTCGTGTAGCAATTAAGATACATTGTTTTAGTGTATATTAATTTTACTAGGGGGGAGGCAATCCTACTTACATAACGCTGATTTTAGGTTAGGCGAGAATGGGACTAGCGTATAAATAAATAAAAAGAAAGAAAGCCTCGAATTTCAAGATCATTACAACCGATTGGAAAGACACACTGGTTCAGAGTCACTTTCAAGGGGAAAAAAGCCACCCCCACCACCTTTCATAAGGGAGGGAAAAGGGAGCAAATTCGGGAAAAAAATAACATAGAAATATGAAAAATTGAACCGGACCATTTTGCGTAATTTGTAGCGCTTTAAAGTGTGGATTATTCAGACTTCTGCAACCATCTTTCCCCAAGGTGTTACAGAACTATTTCACAATTCCACTCTGCTTTAACTTTCAAGAGACTTGCCAACCTTCTCTTCTTCAATCCTCCAGTGTGACAAATTTAAATCTCTTAGGCCGAGACAGCCTAAAACTGCATTATACAATTTTGTGTGCCCCCCCTCCCACCTTATACAACATAGTAAAAGGTTTCCTACGCTTCAGACGCCATTTGGTTCCCCTGGAAAGCTATTTGCGACTTTATTGCCTCTATTTGTGTTATCTGCATAGGTCTTTTAAAAACAGTTTGATAGAAATCGTTCAGTTTTATGATATCCAACGAAAATTCCACATAATATTTATAAGCAAAGAATAAAACTTTAGTATGGGAACCAATATTTTCTCATTTATAGGTGATGAAATTAAAGACCAACGCAATTTTGTATTATACTGCTTTTTCCCCCCTTTTCCCCCCTCTTCTACTTTATTTTTGCAGCTGATCTGGCTACCCAATAATTTATGCTGGTCAGTCAAACATTTCACATGTGCATTTCTGGGACACCAGAATTTGACCTTATAGTTTCCTGGATTGTCTGCCTGCAGATTAAATATGTTTTCCTGATTTTTGCCATGTATTCCTGTGCTTTTGTCAAAGGAAGATATTAATGCGTTGTATGAACCCTAATCAAGATTAAACTTAACATCAAATAATTTGAATTTTCTTTCTCTCTCAGACCCAGAAGCCTTTATAGAATCTGGAGTAAATGTCGTATCGGTGCGTGCTGTTGGAAACAGAAGATCTACCGTGGAAACCTCATATTTTAAGAATGTCTAAATGTTGTGTATATAAAATAAAGATTTACATTGTTAACTCATTTTGTGTACTAGCTTTTGCCAAAACTATCAATTTATGCAAAAGTTTGAAAGATTTTAATCTCTCTTTTTCGAGATGCTGCTCAAGAGCTTTTGAAACAAATAAGACAGCATACAGAAAAATCAGTTCAATCAAAAATAATATATGATTAAAAAAAACTTCAGCATAGATTTTGTTGTTATATCAAAAGAGAATCGAGGTTAGCAAGGAACACAGAGGACCTCTCCAGGAGACCGAATATTGTTTAAAGTTAAAAATAATTAGAAGTATGATAAACATGGGTCATTAATGGAAAAAGAAATAAAATTCATCAGCTTAAGTAGAACCCCCGTTGGGAAAAATGCTTTCCTCTAATTACAGAAAATAAATACGAACAAATGCTATTAAAACTTAAAAGGAGAGAGCCTATGTGTGTCAAAGACTTTAATAACCTACTTTGAATTTTACACACTTTTCGGAAAACAATATAGATGCTGAATGTTCATACACACAAAGCACACTTTGATGCAAATGTACATAGATGCCATAGATTCACAGAGATGTGTACACATGTTCATAGATAACTTTCTGTTTCACATAGACATTTGGAATAACCTGTGGTATTTTATTTATACAAGAGCTAAGAAACTAATGAAGTCTATGTCACATAAAAATCTCTCTGTGTGTGCGTGTGTGTGTGAGAGAGACAGGGGGGCGGGGAGGGGGATCCCCCCTTTTCATGTGTGCCTTTCTCTCAATGCCTATGTATATGAAGCAAGCGGCTGATGTTCTGCTATTGTCCTTACTAGGAGGTTGTCCTGTTTTGAGTTCCAAAGGCAGATAATTGCCTAAAAATATCAAGAAATCAGCTAATGTGATTCCGCAGAACCTGTGTTCTTTGTTAGACACACATGGTACGTCTTTAAGGGAGGGGGGAAAAGACTCAAACAGCCCATTTTTGCCCTATGAATTTAAAATGCACGTGCATAATATCTCAAACAAAGAATATCTCACACTTACACATACTACTTTACCTGCCCCCTTTTCAATCTAATTATTTAACCGAGAGTTATGCACAGAATTGCCTCTTATATCCATTGTATTTTTACCAACTTTTCTTACATTTTTATTACAAACATTCATTTTCGCGTCTAGGAAGTCTTTGGTAGCAACACTTTAATGATTACCTTAAATTTGTATTTCTGCCCGGTATTATGCCCCCATGTTGCAGCAGAAATAATTCTGATTTATGACAAAGTACACTGGAGTACAATAACAGTGATGCAAAAATAAAACCCACGCCTTTATATGTTGGCTTAGAAACTGTAAACTATCACCACAAGAAATCTATCAAACTTTACAATCCCTCTTATTCTACTTCCTTCTTTCTGAGTAACTTAAGTCATAGCATTATGGAATGATATTATGTTCCTTGAGGTGGCATTGAAAACTGTGTTTACGTTTTTCTACGCCCAACATAGCAGTCTTCAAACTCTAATATAGTGGTTTTAGTCTGGTTACCCTTTGATCACGAGGAGAAAATTTGAGAGAGTAATTCAGATACAGGCATGAGTGGTGCGGGTGACAGAAGAAAATAATAGTGTGCCAGGATTTTTTAAAAGTTTATTCAATGGGGAATGTTTCCTGTAATTTTCCAAATGCGTTAACAAACTTAAATGTTACACAAATAACAGGATTGTTCATATCAGAGGTTGTGAAGTCTGAGCAGTTGCCCTGAGAATCTAAATTCCTATATACTTCTAAAGCAATAAGCGTTTGGGGCATATTTCATGATATGATTACATTTGTAAGCTAAAAGGAGAGCTTAAAACGTTTTGAAAATTGGTGTATTTTACTTCTTGGGCGTGTTCCTTTGAAAATAATATAATTAGTGAAAAAAAGTGTGTGGAAAAGTGAAAAAGTAAAACGACTTAAGTGTCTGCTGAAATGTTAAAACATACTAAATTAGAAAAATAGCAAAACATTCTGTCTTTGCACATAAGAAATCTGAAGGAAGTTGTATTAAAATGCTGGTATTTTGTTATCGTCGGCAATGCGTGTATAAAGATGAAATTCCCATCTGCTAAGTGCGTCTAAATAAACATTTTTGTTTCAAATATAGTTTTAACCAATTATCAGTCATTAGATGAGTGGTGGGATATTAACAATTCCACTTTTTCATAGGGGAAAAAAAGCTATTTCAAAAAAATTGAATACACATGAATTTCCGCCCCTATTGGGTTGAAATATACTACAGATAATTGTTCTAGGATATGATCACTTTATTTTGCTAGATTCACCTAGATCTGAAAATATAGAATTAATAGTAGGTTCAGTAGAATTACAGTAAATAGCACGAGGGTATACGAATATTTATCTACGTATCTATCTATATTCGGAGAGTTACTTAGTTATCTTTAAAGTCCGCAGCCTGAAATATAACCTTGAAACAAACACTCCTGTTTCCTTAAATACTTATTGTTTGCAAAACTGAATTGATTCAAAGAGATTCAGCTTTTTTAACAACCATTTATACAGAAACATACGGTTTATATCAACCACCTTTTAAAAGCAGTGGAACCGATGTGTTTAAGAATGTATCACTTAATTCCTAGAAAGGTATTAAGCCCTCTTTTTAACAATTAAAACGAACGAATTTGCCCAACTACTTGTAGCGCATAAACAACTGTAATGTTTATATTAAAGTCTGTTCTTTTGTCTAAAACTAATAAAGTCTTTTATGGGCTCCATCAGCTATATGCTATATTCTAATTCATAAACTAAAGATTAAAAAAGCCTTATGAGGTTGCAAACCACATTCTTGTGGTTTCATGTTGTAATTTAGAAGTTATCAAAAGCAGAAGAACGTGCTTAAATCTAACATATGCTGTGCATCCGTATATTTTCCAACTTTATTAAAGACGGATAAGCAAGGCCTTAATGAGACGCCATTTTGGAAAAAAATAATATAAGTCAGGTTTTAATTTTCTCTTTGATAGCAAAGAGGCACTCAGCCATGCACGCCAACCAGAAGAAGTAGTTTGGCTTTTTTTGTTTTCAACTCTAGTGTCAGTTACAAATGCTTTCATTAAAAACCAGAATTACTTTACAAAAGTGATTCCCCCCCCCCGCCCCCAATGGTAGAGCCCGCACGATATTTCAACACCAAATTATCTGCCCTCCACCCAGAAGAGGGGTAAACCAGGAGGGGAAAAAAATAATGGCCATTCCAAAAATGTTACGACCCACGAGAGTCTGCAAGACAAGGAAACTGGGAGAGCAAGCTATTTATTTACATTGTACACAGCTCTGTCTCTCCGTCGGGCTTAGCTATGACTCCTACCAAAGTTACTCGCACACAAATAAATTAATTCACCCTATGATCCACAGGCGAAGATTAGCTCAATTGATGGTCGCTTCCAATCCACTTGCCAAAGCCAATGTCTTTGTTCTTCGGATTTTCTAATCCTATTTTTGCCAAATTCCAAGGCAACGTCAAACCCATGAGGAAAGTGCAAATGGTAACAGGATGGCTTTCCCTCATGGCTATTGTTTGCCGGTCTTGCTGAGTTGCTCAACAGAGTAGTTTATTTATATGTCACCAAAGAGAACTCGCCCTGAGAGGACCGCACTTATCACACAGTCAAGTTTACGTTCCTCAACTCAAGAACTGTTAGGAGAGTGTGCATGTGAGAGTGGGTTGGTGTCTTTCTGCATGTGTGTGTGTGTCGTGTGTATGTATATATGTGTGCGTGGTGTGTGAACAGCATTGTCTAACATAACTACAGTCCCTGTACACTTTATTCCTGGAGGGCATTTGCAGTTCTTTAAAACAAAACAAAAAATCACCTGCATTTTCTGCAGAAGTGGAAGTGATTTCCCCTGTATGGAAGCCAACTTAAATGTACGTTATTATTCTGCAAAAAAGCCAATTAGAAGTTTGCTCCCTCGCCTTCTTCCCCCTGTGCAATATTTCACAACAAAGTAACCTACAGCAGCTTCCAATATGTTGTGTAGGGAATCCAGGGAGGAATAGGAAACAGGTCGGGTGTTTGTACGTCACATGGAAAGGTCCTTCACAATTAGTCTGTGTGTCATTAACGTAACTATACAGCAAGCTCCCTCAGCCTATGAGGGAGCATTTATTGTGATGGACATTAGATGGAAATAATAATAAAAAAAACCTTGTAAAACTTTTATGCCAAACAAAGTTATAAAAACTTTTCATGCGTTAAGATATCAAAAGGTTTATAACAATAATAAAGCGTGTGTGCTGTGTGTGTGTTAAACCTTCTTCGACATGCAATGAACGCGGCGAGGTTGAGTTAAATATTAGCTCATCATAAACGCCACATTTGGCCCAAAATTTGAATTTAAATAAAAATGTGGGTTCTCCTCCATTCCACACCCCGCCGCCCCCCTAATTCTTTCTCAGGAGGCGGGGACACAGAAAGCCTTTCTGATTCCGCTTTATTACAAAAGGGTTAAAGGTGATGGACTTGACTTTATTGAAGTTCAAAGACATCATATATTCACATTTTTCTTCCTGTGGACCTCTCTCCTATCCCCTCCCCCGGTACAAGGAGCATAATCTCAAAATACAGAACTCCACTTGCAGGGTTGGCCTTTTGCGGTTAAGTGTGACTATTTAAAAAAAAATACATCACAGGACAACCAAATCAAAGCCAACTATTTCCAAATTCATCCAGTGTGGTAGCCAATCCATCCCCACTTCCTCACCTAGCCCCGCCACACACACACACACACACACACAGGCAACCACTCCCTCCAAAAAAGAACATTAACAGCCTTTTCCTACATGGCACTGCTGCTTAATGCTGTTGTAAACTCCCACATGGTCTATAAACTTGGATTTTACAACTAGCATTCCATTTTAGCTCACGAAAACTTTGAACTAGGCCTCCAGTTTCATTGTGTTGAAGTTGAGCTGAAGACATGGAAGGGGAGGGGGGAAAAATCCCTGGGCAAGCCACCCTTATTTGTTTACTATTTACTGCGGAAGTCTTTTCCTATGGCCAGACGGGGTAATTAAGAAAAATTAAGCTGTTTAGTGCTGCAGTCTTTATTACAATGTCTAGACTACTAGCTTTTGTCCGGACAGTGGCTGCTGTTACGGAGCATTAACTGCGGTTTCTGACCTCGTGATAAGCACCCTATTGCACCGATGCTTAGTTTTCCTAACCTTGGAAAGGTTTGGCAAACAATCGTTAAAGAAAGGTGGGTTTATATGAATAATATTCCCTTTTCTTTGGCAGCTCTTCAACTGTATCAATGAGTGGCTGCATCTGCTAGGAGCATGACTTTGGTCTCCATCCTAGTTCAAAGCTCTTTCATATTTTATTCACTATTCTATCAAGGAATTGTCTACCAAAGAAAGGTCCAGGTTTTGGATTTCCAAAGGGCTGGCAGGGTTTTAGGCCATGGGGATACCTCCTTAAACATTTCCACATTTTAAACATAAATTCAAAGAAGCTCTTTGCTATCTAGCCTTTTTTTTTTTTTTTTACCATCTCATTTAATGAGAAACATGTCTAAGAACATCACCCGTTCAAATTATACCATGGCGTAACGAGGATGGGTCTATCACGAAAACAAAAGTTGTTTCTCATTTATTCTTTTTGTGTGTGTGCAAGCGAAGCACATTTTTGTGGCTTGCAATTTCCCCTACCGCTGTCACATAAAATCAGAAGCCACCATCAAAGTATGGGGCTGTATATAAAAGCAATTATGAGAATTTTACAAGAACATTGTCAATGTATGGGAATATAATGTGTTGTTTCTTTGCTGATGTTCTTTTGTTCTTTCTTCCTTTTTCTTTTTTCTTCTCCCCCCACTCCTACCCATACAAAACTCCACATCAAGAGATATGAGAATTCAGGTTGAAAAGCAACAAAACAAAACAACACCCCCCCCCCGAGTTATTCTAGATACACAACATACATGCATCAAACCACTGACGGCGTTTTCTGTACTTCTTTTTCCTTTAAACCAAATTGTGTCTCTTTAGTCCGCTCAGGAGAGGGAAAAGGCTTTGTGTGAACGTAAAAATGCACTTCTGTACCAGAAGTCTGGGAGTTGAACTTGTTTTCCTTAACCAGGAATTTAAGTACTTGACTTTGCATTTGTGCTTTGTACGTATAAGGTAGTTTATATTTGACTTTATGGAAATACAGCACCTTCGTTTGTGTAATTAGAGTTGCACTCACTTACAAAAGTCAAATAAATGGTGCAAAAGATTAATTACATCCGGAAAAACAGAGCAAGACACATGGAACCAAATACACAGTTGTATTATTGGGCCAAGAAATTCCAATAAAAATTTAAATTCGATGAGGAATACAATGAACCCCACAACAAATGTAAACTTTAACGTAGAGGAGTTATATGAATTTGAACAATGCCACATTGCACTGAGCTAGATGACCATGGATGATTATATATAGTGATAGTATCAAATATATATATTTGATGTCATTGCCATTTAGGTATTAAAAGTTCTATTGGGAAGTCCATACCGCATTGACCGCAATGAGGTTTAAAGAGGGGAAGTACTAATAAAATGGTCAAATAAAATCATAATGTAGAACAGCTTGCAATATCTTTATTTACCACAGAATTTCACAGAGTTTCCCGGGAATTCACTTTACATATACAAAGATCTTTTATTATTGTTGTTGTTTGTTGTTATTGTTCTTCTAGATCCGGGAAAAAATGCATTACGAAATGTATTTACAAACCACTTAGAGACAGTTATTGCAAATATATTCTCGTCCATACACCCCTCCCTCCCCCAACCCCCCAAAAATGTAAAAGTGGGACTGCATAGAATATATATATATATATCCTATATATATTGTATTGAAAATGAACCCATTCTTGCTGCAACGGAATAGAATATTTAAATTAGGTTTCGACAACAGTTCTTGGCATGGATAGCAGGAGAACACAAATGATCGGTGTGGATACGCACAGTCCTATGTATATGTGTGCATGCACACACACACACACACACACATTCCCTCCCAAATCAAGGTATCTGAATTAACCATAGAGGGAGGTTTTGGCCGCGTCTGTGATAGCACATGTTAACTGCATATTGAAATCATCACCATGATAATTATAACACAGCACTGCGATTTATTCAAATAGACAAGGATGACTAAATGAAAAAAAAATCCCAGTTGTTCAGACAAAAGGTTAAATAAAAAGTCCATGGTTTTCAAGTCCTTTAAACGTTTAGATATCTGAACTCCTTGCGTTACTTAGAACTGTTCCATACATACAAATATAAGTAACGAAAAGGCTTAAACTTTGAGGTTGCTTGTAGACTCAGACCACAACCCATGCTTTCAGAGTTCCTTCTTAGTACAGATCTACTTCACCAGCAGAGAGGATTGGAAAAAGATGTGTTCACAATAAGGGATTTCCAGAAAAATACTGCAGGCGGTCTCTGCTTAATTTTTTTTCTTTCATTCTTCTGTTCTGAAACCAAATTTTAACCTGTCGATCAGTGAGATTTAGCATCCTAGACAACTGAAGCCTTTTTTCTTTGTTTATATAGACATTGAAGAAAAATTCTCTCTCTAGCTCTCTGATCTGGAATTTCGAATAGGGACATCTCTTCTTTCTTGTACGGGGAGCACCTTAAAAAAAAACAGAAGGGAATGTAAATACTAAGCAAATGCAACACATAGACTCATCTCTAGATCTGACTCCATATATATGGATATATATATACATATTTATAGATGCATGGGATAATATATTTCGCCACTGTTATATTTGCCCATTGTTAGTATAATGCAGAGGTGAGGTTATATATGGTTTTAAGGATTGTGTCCTAGTTATGTTCTAAATACACTACCTCTGCACAGGATTTTGTGATAGACATATTTTTAAGCAGAGTTAGGGGTTGTAGGCAGCAATTAATTTAAGCAGGCTTTAAAGAAACTGTAGCTATTGAAAAACATACGTTCAAGCTGCAAATCTGTTATTTGTATAGAAACAGCATGAGCAATGTTGGAACTGTTGGAACTAGACATTATGTTCCGCATAAGTTTTTGATTAACTTCAGTACCAGCATCCACACACACCAAAATAATCAAAGTAAAATAGAATTTAGCCTCTGAGCAAGAAAAGGGATGTATTGTTTTCATCATGAAACCAACTAGCAAAAGGGAAGAGAGAAAAAAATCTCACCGTGATCGCTAAGTTTAAAAGTTGCTTGGCTTCAGAATTTAAAATACGCCTCTAAGTTTTCTTAGAAATGTAGTGATTTTTTTTATCTGACCTTAATGACAAAAGACAGAAACTCCACTAGGCTTTGCGAAGAATCAATGCAATTAAAAAATAAATAAAATAGAGACTCAGGATTTAATTCAAATGTTGCACATTTTGCATTTAGCTCCACAACCCCTTAACAAAAGAGAGAGAGAAAAGAAAGACCCAGCATATACTTTTAATTAAAAAAAATCACTCTACATGCATCTTAGTGCCTAAAAGCAAGCACAGGAAGCTACAGCGGTGTTCTGCCCAATTGCCTTTTACCCTCAGCAACCCGGGACCAAATCCTTTTAAAATGCTCATGTAAGTTCATGATCAAAGTTAATATTTGCCACGATGGTGTGCTTTCAAAATTTCACAGACTCTAAGCTACTGTGTCTGCGCCTAACATCTCCATTTTTTCAAAGAGCTTTCCCATCGTAAAAATTCTTCTCGTTGGAAGAAAGAGCTTTGTAGGTTATAATAAAATCCTTTGAATGCTTATAAAACTCCACATAAAATTTGACCGACAAAACACCGGGCTAGTCCCTTAACCTTTCCATTTACTGCTCTACCTACTCGAGTTGCTGTTTTTGCTTCCTTCCTTGTTGACAGAAGAAGACGAGGCTGAAGACCCTGGATTTGTGTTTTCCTCTTCGTCTTCCGGGTCTATGCCTTGCTCTCCGCGGGATGATAGTGCACTGGGTTGGGAGTCGGATTCCAGTTTGCTCTCGCTTTTCTGCAGACAGTTCTCAGGCGGGTTCTCTGTCCCGCAGTAGGCATTTTCGAAGAACCGATCAAAGCCCTGGGGCAGGACACTGTTTTTGTTCATGCTGGAGTAGAATCCCGTAGATGCAGGATGGTTAGAGCTGGGATGGTGGTGGCTGTACACGCTTTCGTTTTTCATTAGCATTTCGGTCATGGTGGAAGGCGGGATACACTCTCTATGCATCAGATCTTCCGCGGAATAACACGAGGCGTAATTGCTTCTATGGTGCCATTTACTAGAGGGGTCTAGACCATAGGAGACCTCTCGAACTGGCTGCACTTGCGAGAGGTTAGTGGAATAAGGGTAGGAGATTTGGCGAGAGGGGGCCTGTGGCAAGAAAGATGACACAGTTGAAAATTCTGGGACGTAATAGGTGCAGCTAGGGAGGTAGAGATTGGAAGCGCAACCTGCTCTGTCTCCAAAGTCAGCACTCCTCTCTTTACGCGATTGAGAACAGAAGTTTCCTAGATTCACTGAGTTAAACATCTTTCTCCTTTTCTTGCTCTATAGATAGATGTTTTGGATCCGATGTGCAGAGGGGGAAAAATTTGGGAAGGCGAGATGACGCGCTATCCGTCTTAGTCGCTCTAAGGAACACGTGATCCAAAGTAGATATTGTCATATATCAGTTTGGAGCACTTAGATGTGTAGGAGTGGTTCACTTAGGTAAGATCTCAGAGGTTCAAACGATTGGTTTTCAAACACCGCAGAAACATTATGAAAATCAATTGCAGCTTTGTATTCATTTTCTTTAAGGCACACCCCTTGTAAGCATTCAAAGCAGAGGGCAAATACAAGGGATGGCTTGTGAAGTTTTTTTTTTTTTTCCTTCCCGGTTTGGATTCTGCTTTCTATTTTTCACGAGGATTCGGATATGGGGTGGGGGCTGTTGGGAGGGAGTGGGAGCTGAGGGAGGGTCTTAGAGATATTTTAACTGTATTTTTCCACGGTTTTTTTTTTCTTTTCTTTTCTTTCCATGCTAGTTACATTTTAGGCGTGACAATGTAAAGTCTTTAAGTAAGCTCAATAAAAAGCCCAGGGAATGCGCTGAAGATTCATAAGTAAGTTTTCAAACATTTCTCAAAATCTTGCTACAGTGGGGCATACACATATCTCTGTGCCATTGGGCTTTTAAAATTATAGTTGAATATATAATTTGGGAGGGAAGGGGGGAAGTGGCTAATTAGCAAGCTTCTAACATTAGATAATTACATTGCTCTATCTATGTGCATACCAACTGTACATAAACCAACGTGGCATATACTGCAGAGAATATACCCTTTAAGTAATACCAGTGTGTGTAAAGTTTCAAACTTTAAAGTTACCTGAGACTAAAACTGAGCCATTTTAAGGCTGACTTAATGACTTTTGATATCGAATTAGTAATATATCAGGAAATAGAGCAAATGAATTAAGTCAGTGCCTAATAAATATTCGAAAACCTCCTTTAATGTTTTGTTAAATATTTATTATGTAAGAGTGGCATATTAAATATTTAATGCAAGTGTTTATTGTCAATCAATGAATGTAAGTACAGAATTACTAGCATCCTTTATTCCTCCAACTGAATTAAAAAAGAGAGATTCTTATTAAAGTCATTTGTCTTGAATTTTGTGCCCCAAGAGCTTCATGCTTGTCTATATTTTCCAGTGTTTTGAGATGGAATAAATACTTGTGCTATAAAGTGCTATCAGACATTTTGCGAGTTTTTCAACCAATTGTCTGTCTAAATGTTCTTCTTTAAATAATATGGAAAGGGATACCTGTAGGACTTACAGAGAATATTGAGTGATACTGTGGGTTGCTAGTATTTCCAAGATGTATCTTGCATATCTTGCCTACTTAAAACTCTTCTAGCACCAAACTATCCTGTGACCACTACTCTGATTGTGCACTACTCGTTCTTTTCACCTGGGCTGCAAATAATTTGTCTGGGGACTGCGATGAAAAATGACGTTAATCGTATTTCTATTTCAAATGCAGAGATGTTTGTGTTTTCCACTATCTGTGAAAATAATGCAATCCCTTGTGTCATCCCTCCCCTTCTTTTAATTACAGGACACCACCTGGTTAATTTTCTTTATTTCCTCTTTTGCGATTGTTCAGTTAAAGGAAGAATAAATAAAAATTCAGCTGTTTACATAGAGGTCCCCCTCCCCCAGCTAAACTCCATCGTGGGATCTCTTTGGAGACAGGTTAAATACCTCCTAACAAAACTAACACACCATCACAGAGTAAAATGTCTTTATTAGTGATATCTTGTCAAAGAGTGTTGCAGTAAATTGGAACAACAACAAGAAATAACCAAAGCACAGACACATGAGCTATCAGTAAACAATATTGTTAGGAAGGAGAAGAGTAGACATGATTTTTCTGCGTGTTTTTGTTTTGCTAAGCATTTCATCTTGAAAACTATCAACAACTCCATCCAAGTAATAATAAATTACAACACAAGAAACGCAAGATATAAATTGTACAGCTCGGAGTCATTTAATCCATTTAATATTTTTATTCTCAATTTTCATTTTCGCTGGTCTAATTTTTTTTCTTTCCATTTTAGTCAGCAGGTAGGTTCATTTCGACGCAATATTAACAGAAAGTGAAAAGACCAAGTACTCCTTCCACAAGCTCCTAGAAGAAAGCGGACGCTGATAAAAAAAACAATAATAGAAAAGCATAATGACATTAATAAGCAACATGCTTTTGAAAATTCATTTTAATTACAGGAAATAGATTGGTAGGTCTGTGTCTTGCAGCGGGGCTAAGATCTGAGCACTTATGAAACAAAGAAAAAATACATTGGGCACTGCAGTGTAGCTTTCAAAACTATAGCACATTGCAATATGTCTCGATTTCAATTCCTGTATTATGGATCCCTTGATGGCTTCTTATGCTAAGAATACATACTCTTCCTTATTTAAACAATGTTGCCAGTCTTAATGCAACAGAGCCTTTTTTTTTTACACATATTTGAATTTTTCTCAAGGTTGGTGTTTTTCTATCCAAAAATCTTCAAAAAACTCTTTTTATAAGTGATCTCGGGATGTGTGTGTATATATATATAAATAGATCTGTAATCTCAAAATGAGATGTATTTTTTCTCTAATGCACCCTTAGTTGATAAATACAAAGTAAAGAACTCATGAGGTCGAGATATGTGTCTTGGTTTTGTAATCTGCCCCCATTTTATGTCTTGGGTGTCATTTTGGGCAAAACTTTTAATTAAAGTGTCAGTGATCTTTTTATGGACCAATATTAATACTAAGTACAAACTAATAATGTTAAGCTATTGTTTATGAGTGCAATTATTTTTCTTCCAATTCCCTCCTCTTTGCAACCTGCATGGGGCAGAATCGAACGTTGAAATGGAAAAGTAAAAATACAGATTTCATCTTCGGGGGTTAGACATTACGTTCAGAGATTATTTCTTCTCCATTTTATTTGAATAAAAAGAAGACATTAGTGGGCGGGAGGGGGGAGAGAGAGAGAGAGAAAAAAGTCCTAAGTGTCGTCGCTAAAACGTATGTGTGGTATAACACATGAGCTCCTTCCTATAGGTGTGTGAATAATTTATTGCTCTTGGTAGGTAAATATCTCTAAAACAAGTCCTGTTGCCATTTTGTTTTTTAAACCCAGTTTAAAGGGCAGGATTTGCCGGCTTCCTGCAAGGAAACACAGAAGAGACAGCTGTGGAGTCATAGCACTTGAATTTGACCACCAAAGTGACTACCATAAAAGCCAGAATGAAGACTGCAGACTCGCATTCCTTCTGGTTCCCTTAAAAAAAAAAAAAGTCAAATGAGTTTAAGGGTAATCAACTGTAGGGACCCTGAACTTTAATCGAGTTCATTTCACAGCCAAGTGTGCAATAAAATAAAATAAAATAAAATACACATACAGATAACTTAAGGGGTGGGGGAGGAGAGGAAATACGTTAATTTTTCTAAGGGAAGTTGCTCGAATACTATCTTGAGGTTACAATGAACTGAACTGCCTCCTTAGAGGCAATATTTGTAGTGTATTTTGTTTCCTCACATCAGAATAGTAAAGGAAAACGCAGCAGAGAGCGCGAAGCGTTCACCTCCTTTTCCCTAGCTAGCGGGCTATTTGTTGCAGACAAGCATCTAAATGCAATTCGATTCCATTGCAAGAATTAAGTGTTTAAAAACCCAACACATTTTGCTTTGACTGACTACTAATTTGCCTGACATAAAGACTACACTTGCACATTTAACAGTGTTTTCAACAGGCAACTAGGCATTTCACAAGACTTCTAAGTTGTGCTCTTTGTTGCTAAAATGAACTTCAAGTAAACTCCGGGTAGTTTTGACTGAACGAGCCAAACCTAAGAACGGTAGCGAAATAAAACTTTTTGGTTGTGCAAGTTGCTTAGTTTATAGATATAAACTTCTTAAGTCATATTTTGATTTAGGATAACCCAGTTCTTGAGCTATTCTCAATAAATCATCCATTTTTTCCACTGGGAAATTCTGACTTTCCTTTCCCTCCTACCCCAGAATTAATTTATTTTATGCAGTGTAAAATCGTATCAATATTCCAGTTATCGCTGGATAAAACTTTTCTGCACTTGTCATCATAAAGAGCTCTTTGCCGGAGTCATGGGGTATGGAATCCACTGCCTGGAAAAGAGAAAATAAAATATTATTTATACTGGTTTGACTTACCATTTTAGCCATAGACACTTACTGCAGCATTCCAAGCGTTTAAAAGGAACTGTGATCTCAAGCTATTTGATGCATTATTTATACATTGCATCTTTACCTCGTACAGGCGGCTGATCACAATTTACTTTGGCTCACGGATTTGGGAAAGTAGCATTTTCAGAATTGTATGCATTCCCGATCTGTCTGCAAATGCATTAAAAATGAGTGTAAATCATTTTGTTGGTCGATGTACCTTCAGGCAGCTTCATAGATATGTGATTTGTTTATGCTAAATAAGCTCAGACTTCTGATGCCTAATGACTTTGGCCTGTCAGATGTTCTAAAGCTGATTCCTCCCTCCCGCTCCCCCAATACAGTACTACAATTACTTCCTAAAAACAAGACTCATAGACTTCAAAAAAAAAGTGTACAAATCCACGCCAGTAAACAGATTACTATAGACCGCATGTGTCTCCAGGAAATCTAAAGCTGGAGACAATAGCTACAAGTGGGAAGCTCTTGGAAAATATTATTGTCCCCAAATGGCAAAGATAAGTTTAATTGGATATAAGCCAGCCTACTAAAGAAGACTATATAAACTGTGAACAATTCAAAGGGAAAAAGGGCTTAGATCTCTGTAGACCTGAGCTGCAAGTTCAAAATCATGTGGACTCAATAAAGATAAAAGCAGATAAACTATGCTTCCTAACCACAGGCAAAGCAGATATTGTATGGTAGAAATGTGGTAGGGGTGTCAGATTCATATAGAAAGGACTCCAACGAGGCCCAAAGAATAGTTCATCTTGTGTAGTAATTAAGTAA